CCCATGGGTGTCTAAGAATTTAGGGCACGACATAATTCGCAGGAGCCACAATGACGAAGGGCTTTTTCTTGAGCAATCTTAACCAGAGCCTTGAACTCAAACGTCTGACCCACAATGTAGTGGGGTTTAGATGAACGCATGAGTGTGGCCGAAGCATCCGTGTGGGAACTTCTAGAGATCTGTCACGCATGGTCTCTGGGGTTTTGGTTCAGTGTGTTGTTCGCTGGTGCATTCATTTCCGATCCCCTGTTCGGGAGTGGCCATTAGTATCATGCATGCAGTGAGATAAGCGGAACATAGACAGGAGAGCACCTCAGTGGCTGGGAGATGCTCAGCTCGGGCGGTCGGTAGTTGTCTAATGAAGTTCGAGGACTTCTCCCACTGTTGGTAGGAAGCCCCCGGGTACCCCGCTCCTACGTTCTCCTAGCAAACTTTTTCACCGGTAGAATGCCCTCCCCGTGTTTATTTGTTCGAGTGACCTCTCCAGGGACGAGATTGGATAGCCAAAGGAAGCCAGGCGCCCAATCGACTGGCCTTGTGATACTGAGCTTTGTCTGGCCTCTATCCATTGAACTTCCAAGCATGATTGGATCTGAGGCTGTGCGCAGCTATCCTGTATAGCTCGTACGGTCATGGAGGCGCGCAAGCCATCACACTACGTCAAGGTGCAGTCTCGTCTTGATGGAGCCAAAACCATAGCAGTAAAGGGTACTGTTAAGGGTCGTGAAAACCAAAACTGAGCGTAAACCGGCATTATCAGCACTGCTTTTTGAAGAAAATCCGGATAAAATGGCCTTTTTTCGATTGAGTTGATTTTGCGCTTCGCTGCTAGTTTACTCAGGATTTCCCAAGTAAATAGTGCTTGTATATAAACCTGTGGAAAATTACAGCTTGCAATCTCTTAGAATCTGACGCATAGATTTAAGCGTTGCGAACTTTTGGTTTCGGTAGGACTTTGCTTGATTATCGTAATAACAATGTGGAAAAACAATGGACTGCGTGCAAACGGAGTGAATATGAAGCTCGACGTGAACGCGGAAGGGAGTCTCCCCTTTCATAAGTTAGTTATCAGGAAATAGCATTGTATACTCAACTAAACTTATTGCACAATCTCATGATTAGAAACAAATTTCGTTTAGTCTTTCCATAGGAGCATAATTTGGATGACATAGTAGCTGAATGAGTTCTACCGTAAAAGAAACCGTGAGGGATTCTGGAGATAAGTGGGCCTAGGTGATAAAAGAATTCTCAACAAATAAATTTATTTCACACACCGTGTAAGTGTGATCAAAGTCACGTGTTTAATTATGAATATGAGGACTGAAAACAACTTGAAAGCAGTAAACTGTGAAGTAATTACTGGCATATGCCGATACTAGAATAGTCAATATATGCAAAAGCAAAACTCAAACTTTTGTTAAACGGAATTTTAGAACGCATCAGAATCGATATATATATATATATATATATATATATATATCGGTAATGAGATTTCTCTTCTAATCAATCAGACTGCACTTTTTAGTTACCCGGACTACTGAAGTACAAATAGACACAATCAGCGAACGCCAAATGGGGTCGCGAACGGGACCGTTGCTACACTATCGTGTCTAACGGTCCATTTGATACACCCAGTTACGTGTACTGGATTAGGTGGTGTGTGACCATTGATCCATTAAACACATTAAAGCGTCACATCGATGATAACAAACAAGTCGGAAACTTCCATTTTCGACAGCTCATAGGTGTCGATTTTTAGCGGATCATATTACGCACTGAAAAGAAAATCAAACAAGAACGCGTGTGATATCTTGATAGAGAAAAGTAGTTCTACGCCAGCAAAGAATAACGGACCGATCGGCTCGAAGCAATTGAAGTTTGAAATAGTTTAAGTAGGATGCATAACAGAAAGAACTTTTTGTGGCCAATCGTGCAACGCCATGCGCGTATTCACAAAGCTAATTTTACNNAGAAAGATGAATTAAACAAAAAAATGAAAAGGAGCGGTCAAATCACTACTGGACTTTTTATTGAACGGGTGGCTTTGTATTTACTCATGCACATTACATAATTCAGTCAACGAGCAAGGGAACTTTTGTCTATCCGAGTTATTAAGAAAACAAAGCAGTAGGTTATGAATAAAAAAGGATTAGCGTAACTAATGAAATGGGGAAAAAAGATCTCCAAGGATTGAACGCACATACGGTATTCACGAAGTGGTAGCAACTGACCAGTGCAGCAAAGTATTTCGAATCTTGTTCAAAACTATAATAAGATCTCATGGAAACCAAATTCAGCTGGCGCTGAAAATTTTAGGTAGTGGAACAATGGAGACCTGATAAAATTTATACTCCAAAAGCTTTGAGTCTGCAATCTTTTCATGTTCCATCTTCTTCGAACTTGAGTCGATTACCATGACCAGTGTCGATACAAGTTATTATAAATTTGTCCTTCTTGAGTTTTGTCAAGAAAAAAACTCCAATCACGGAAACTTTACATAGGTACAAGGAATAACATATTTGTGAGTAACTGCCAATAGTCTGTTAGAAACTTGCTGCCTTGCGTTTGAAATTAAATTTATGGTAACAGATGACTACCATGATCTTATTCACATTTCACTCCTTAACTATCTTTGGTGGCCGACCTATCATGATCCAAGATGATGACGATCTCTGCACGAGCTACTTGAGTATTTGCTAACATTCCTACAAAGTGTTCATTCTCTATCTTTGAAGTGCCATTTTTGTTTGGTATTATCACTTACACTTCAGTCCACTTCACGCTCCTGCTGCTAAGGACACTATTTTTTGTGTTATCCACCCTTCCGATTACCGACCCTGAGAGCCATTTCATCTCCTGTACTTTCCAAAGCTCTATTTGGATCGAATAGCAGCAAGATACAAGGGTAGAGCGTATCGTTCTACGGCGATCGTGTAAGCAATTCTGAGGTAAGCCATCGCCTACGAAAGCCTCAGAATGGTCGGATTGGGTGTTTCAGGCCGCGGCCAGTCACTCTTCCCTCGCACCTCGTGAAATGCTAGTATACGACTCAGCGTCTCTGCGGATGAAGCTCTACTCACTGCCTTGCAGTACCACCAAACTAAGGGGACGAAAAGTCAAGATTCAGGGCTATATTGGGTTGGTGAACCACCGGTAGTTCACCCAGGGGAGTTGGCTAAAAACCCTGATTTCAAACTAATCGGCGGGCGAACAACACCCACCTACACCATGGTTGNAGTATCGAAGGGTGTTGGGCACCTTGGACATTTGACTGCGTCCAAAAGGCATATGATCCAAAGAACTGAACAGTGGCTCCCAATGGATTGCATTTTTCACACCGCCCCGCTGCTTTGCGGGTTAACCTGCTTGATCTGGACAACCTAGCAGTATCGTGACCATGTGCAAATCATGGAACTCATTTTATGACGATCATTGGACTCAGGCCTGTGAAATACAATGTATAATAGATAGGCCGTCTTGTATCTGATAATGATTTGGTGAAGAATTCGTTATGACATCGAATTCAGATTAGTAGGCCTCGCTAGTCAAGAAATGTATTGCACATACCTATTTGCCATCAACCGCACC